GTTTATTTTTTGCCCTTCGAGGGGGTGTCTTGCCACCCAATACACTACCCTCCCCCTTCCCCCCGCTAAATCCACCCCTGGGTTTGGGTGATTTGAATAACTAAACATTGTTTTGTCTATCATCATGTTTTTTTTTTTTTATGGCACGGAAAAAAATAGTGCAACTTAAACAAAAAACAATGCTTCACGATCCGAACCGTTTTCAGTCACTGTTCATGTTTTATTTGAAGTTCAAGATATAGAATTCTAGAGAACTAAGGAAACATAGCAAAGCAGTCGAGCTATACATGTAGAGAGCTTATTATCGACCCCAGGAGCCCATGCTAAAACAATTCGCAGGTCAAAGACAATTCACGTTCAACCCGGGCGAAAACAAAATGTCGACGCCTAGAGGCATTTTGAAGTGAAACCGCAACTTTAAAATCAAGAAAGCGTTTTGGATCCAGATCTTACTCAGGGTTATATAGAAAACTGAATCAAAAGCCTTTGTTGTCTGTATTTTAAGACGGCATAAAATTACTTTTCAATCATTTCGACGTTTAGTTACGCCCCGACTCTGGCGGGTACAAACTAAGCTGAATTTTTTGAGTCAACCTGAAGGTAAAAATTCTGTGAAAATTAGTGTTTGCTTTGCCATGCAAAAAGCATCGATGGACCGGGATGGAAATGTTTCTAAAGTTGTTTTTGTTAGTGGATCTAAATCTACTAATTTTGTATCTAAAAACCGTCCTCGAATAAGGACGTGGTTTATTATGGTTGTAGCGGTTGTTTTAATCCTTGGAGCTGTAGTTTTATCAGCTGTGTTTATGCGCAAAACAAAGGAAAAGACCAATTCTTCGCGCTCTGTGACCGAAGTCAACTTGGAAGAAGGTGAAATACTAACGTATCGAGTTGAGCAGAGGCTCGAAATACGAGGTGGAGATGTGCAAAAAGGTATTGAGATCGAAAAAGCTGTTCTATAGCCATAAATACTTATCTGACTTAATTAATGTTCTATTTCAATCATTTTAGAGTAATGTATAAACTTTTATATGTAATTGTAAAGTGTCACAAGGAGAACCTTGTCGAACTCGAAACTGTTGCCTGCAAAAAGAAAATTTGAAAACCTGACAATGGCAAACCTTATGTCCGGGGCCTTGTGGTTACGAGCCTGTTCATCTCGCTGTGTGAAGTCCTTTTCGATCCTCCTAATCGTTAGTCAACCTAACTTCCTAGTATTTTAGTAGTTATTCGAGTGTTTTTCTGAAGAAAAGAACAATTTATTTTACTGTTTTTGAATGATCTTGAAGTGGCAGTAAAAGTTTCGGAATCCAAGCTCATTCTGTGATTTACTACTTATAAGCAAAATCAATTGTTAAATTTTATGAAACACCCGCGTATGTTTGCCATGGTGCATAACTTAGCCTGTCTGCCTACGCAAAGACATCGCGAATAAACGATGGAAATCCGTTCTAATTATAAAATCCGACAATCGGTGCGCCGTCGGTGTACAAAGACAACGAACGATTGGCCACTAAATTGTCTCCGGCGAGTTTTAGTTAGTTGATTCAGTCACTCAGTAGAGATTTAGTCGCAGCATCGGAAGAACCAAGTTTATACATAACTTCTTGCAACTTCAGATCTCGGCCCTTTTCCATCTTAAGAGTCTAGAGACATATTCCAGCATTACAGTCTGACTCTTATGTGCTACAATATAAATCTTTTCCGTGGAATTTACGACGATATTTCACCCGGATTTGAGACGAAAGATTCAGGCTTCCTTTTGCACTCACTGTAACTTCATTCCTAAAATTTCGTCGACATGGTCGCAAAATCTACAATCTCACAACAAAAAAGAAAATAGGTTCTGAACTATACTGATAGCATATAAAATTGTTGATGGAAGTGTTCTACCAACTGAGCTATGCAGACCCGCCATAAGCACACTGGGAGCTGACCAATTTATTGCAACCCCATCGTCGGTAGTTTATTTGCGCATGCGGAATTTCTAGGTCTTTATATCCATGCATTTTTTTAGTTGGGCTTCACGTGCAATATGCTTAAATTGCAATTATTCAGCCTTTCATTACTTTCACGGGTTAAAATGAACTCAACGATAAATTGGCCTGCTTCCAATGTATGAGTCTTCATACTGAATGCTAGCTAAGTTGGCAAAGCACTGCAGTACTAACACAGAGCCCACGGGTCCGAATCCATTGCAGTCCCGAACTGTTTTCAGACGCATAACTTGCAATTGCTAAAATTTCAATTACAAATGCAATGGCCACAATTTCATTTTGATCGAATTTCCGCAGTTCATACTATTCATTCAATGAGTTATGGCTCACAATTAACACCGCAGACATTTTTCCGATCCCGGACAATGGTTACAGCAGTTACGTCAGTACCACTGGGTACCTAAATTTTGATTAAGCAAAAGCTCACTTATAATCCCTGTCATTTCACAGGTACCATCATTGCAGATGTTGTTATTCGTGTTCTTAACAAAACATCGGAAGAGTATTGGTTCTTAATGAAAATCAACACGATGGTAGAAGTCGACAACGTGGGTAATATGGGCGGAGTGAGGCCTGGAATGATGGATTACTTTCTCGTCAAACTTAAGGTCGCCTCAAGGTAATTTACATGTGGTTTTCCGGTTGCAAGAGCAATTAATCCAAAACCATAAGTCGCGTTGTCAATTTTAATTTCAGAAAAAATTCATTAATATCTTAAGTGAGCAAAAGATTGCCTCCAGCACAAAGTTTTTGTGTCAACAGTTAAGTGCGTGGGTTGTGTGAAAAAATTAGTTCGTCAGTAAGTGTCCGGCCGGGGCGTTGTTGACAATGATTTCATTGTCAGTTGTGCCCATAATGTTGTTAGCAGTAAAGACTCTTGTTAATTTCCTAAGTTTTTTTGGCCTCAACGAGCCGAATCAGTTCCATTCGACTCCGCTATTCCCGAGGGTCAATGTTGCAGCTCTCGCAAGGTCTCGCATGAATGGCTTGAAACCCTTTGAGAGGACAATAGAACAAACAACAGAAACAATGCTCCTAGCCCTAAAACAATAACAACTGCTGCAATGACGACAAATAGAATTACAAGCTTACGAGCTAGAGCTGCTACACTACCAATGTCCACACTAGTAATTTGTCAAAGATCGGCGCTCGTCGCTCCGGTAAAACTTTTAAAACCAACAAAACTGATGTGTAACATAATAGTGACCTTCACAACTTCTAAAACACTCGGTGAGAATCTGTGGCCACCGGAAGGTACTGAAAAAAATACAACTTTAAAAAGTGAACTGAAAAGAATGAAAGATCAATTTTCACACCTGCCCGAAGACCACAAAGAAGAAAAGTAATCTTCTTGCGCTGATTCTTGAATTTTCTTTTGTAAAGTTTTTATTTTTTTTTTATCTGAGATCAAACAGATGTTCTACGTCGACTGTCAAAATCTGCAATATTCAGTTTCAGTGAAGAGATTGTGCAGCTGTTGACATTGATGCATTCGTTAAACTTCTTTTACCGTAGTCTGACGGACATTTTGTAATAAACGAGAAAGAAATTGAGGTAGCGAGTGACTGTTCCAACGCAAGTGGTTCTTTCATTAATGACCCACACTGCTCTGAGAACAGCATAACACGATCACATAACCCTGTGACACGCACGCGCAGAGGAGGGTTCACCCAACATGGGTGGAAGGGCTTAAACAGGCAAAGCCTTCGCGAAACTATTAGAAAAACGCCCACACTTTTCGAGATGAAGGTGATAGGAATAAACACAAAAGGAGTAACAGACGTCTGGCTCGCGCCAAAACATTCGCATGGCTTTGAGATGGGCGTAGGCTTTACGCTGCGGTTTGGCAGTCTGAACGTAAAGCTATTTCATGACAGGCTCGACGATAAACAGATCAAAAGAGGCCTTGAAATCAGGATAGGGAAAAAACGGGAAAAGAGATTTGTAAGCGCTTTTTCTTTCCTGTAGAAAAATGTAAACTAGATAACGAGGTGATGTAATTAATTGGGTACAAGGCTTTCTTACTAAGCTAGAAAGCTGATGTAAGAAAAACTGACAAACTAACATTTTTACTTTTGAACAAATGGTGAACTATTTTTTAGAAATTCCGTCCGTTCTTTAAGGGACCCTTTTGGACCTGAGTTCTAGTACAACAGAATCGTGTTTTGTTGTTCAAAAGTACTTGATATATCGTTGCGCCCTTAGCGTTAATTGGTTCATTTCATTGTTTCTACATCTTTTTTACTTTTCTTTTGTTTTGAATTCCTACTCTANAATCGTGTTTTGTTGTTCAAAAGTACTTGATATATCGTTGCGCCCTAAGCGTTAATTGGTTCATTTCATTGTTTCTACATCTTTTTTACTTTTCTTTTGTTTTGAATTCCTACTCTATTTACTTTTGTCGCAAATCCTTTCACCAAGGTATCATTTGAGCCCGCGATATCGCCAAGGTGTTGCTAAACAACAGATGTTTTCTGACGTTTAAGGATGGAGTTAAAATCTGACGAGTTTGGAAATTATTCGAGTACTTTGTTAGTGCTTAAGATTTGCGAAAAACTATACTTGTCCCATACATTGTGAATTAGTAATAGAAACCACATTTAACATGATGACGATGACAATGACGATGTCGATGAAGATGACGATGACGATGACGATGACGATGTTGATGACGATGACGATATTGATGTTGATGACGATGTAGCTCGCGGACAGGCTCCTGGTAAGCCCGGACGAAGCGAGGGAGCCAGTAGACATTCTACTGATGCCGCCGTTCCATGATGCCAGGATTTGGTATCATGATATGATTGGTTAAATCGCTGATTGTTGACATCTTAGAGATAAATATTTGACAGATTTTTGTAAAATGCGGTTGACCGTCCCACGCGACTCCTACAATTCGTGACAATTGCGCTTTTGCCATTATCTTTTAATTTGCGGTCTCTCGACCTTTCATTATTTCACAAGTGATTCTGAAGGATACTTTATGCTCTGTTATGAGAAGGAATTTTAGTAGAAGCTAGTGGAGTGGAGCCGTTTGGCATGGCTTCCGGACTTTCCGCTGCTTTTTGCATGTCGCTTCGCAGAGTTTGACACCTCTATCATGTGCTTATAATTTCTTTAGGCTCATTTCAGTATTGCAA